CACCATCCCCAGCCTTCTCTCCCTCCCCCCCGCCTCCCTCCCTCCTGCCTCCCTCCCTCCTTGTCGCCTCCTCTGAAGCTTCAAAACTGGAGATTCTTGGAAATAAGGCATTACCCCTCCCACCCAATGAGATTTACTCCCCCGTAAAGCTACCTAAACCAACCGATCGGACTTTATTTGCGTGGGGCAGACCCAGGACAATTTAGCAACCGACTCCTTTTCGAGCGAACCTGCTCACGATCGCGCCCCTTCTCTTGAGCAAGATAAGGGGACCACGATGCACGTGTGAACGGTGGCAGAACGTTCGCCTCGAGTCACAGCCGGGCTTCCCCGTTCTTGTAACCCAACCCAGAATCCCCAAAGCTGGTGATGATGGGGGGGGGGCGGTTACCGGCTTGCGGGAAATCACGCCCAGATGTGACTGACAGCTGCCAGTTGTGTAACCTCGCCCGTGGTCGGGTTGGGCATCCTCGAGTTACACAACACGAGAAGGAGCCCGTTTGGGTGCTTTTTCCTTTTTTCTGCCCAAGAAGAATCAAGGAGGGAAAAAGAAAGCCGTCCTACTAAGCTTGATAGAATTTTCTCCCAGGTAAGTGGATGCAGGATCGCAGCCGGGTTGGGTGGCGGGATGCAAACAACACCAACACCAACACCAACAACAACAACAAAGAAGATGCCAAGGGCCAGGAGATACCAGAATTGGCCTCTACCTTGATTTTGAATTCTGGTGCCTATGCCATGGGCCAGGGGATACCAGAAGTGGCCTCTACCTTGATTTTGAATTCTGGTGCCTACCAGCCAGAATCCAACCGACTAATCATGACAAAGGAAGAAAGCGAATTATTCCCTGGGAGAGGTAGCAACTTCCATGGAAAAGTTTCCTTGGATCCAGAGTGCTAATGATTCAATTACATGCTGGTATATTGGTGACCCTTTCCAGGTCATTAAATTCAGGATTTCTTCCTTCTGTACAGTGTTTCTAACTGCTGGAATGTATTATTTTTGTTAGTACAGTAGTAGTATCATGTTTTGGGGGAAAAATTCTAGAGCAGCATATTTTCACTGTGCAATGTTTCTACCTGCTGGGATTTATTGTTACTGATTGTTCGTAGCATTACACTGGATATCCAGTGTGTGTACAGCGATGTAGTACCTGCTGAGATTTATTGTTTCTGATTGTTTGTAGCATTACACTGGATATCCAGTGTGTGTACAGCGATGTAGCAGGATATGGGAGATGTGGGGTTGAATCCGAACTCACTCCAGGACGCTCACAGGAGTGGGGTGGGACTGGTAAAGCCACTTCTTAAATATCCCACTTTTTGGAAAGCCCTATTAGGGTGGCTATAAGTCAGTTCTGACTTAATGGCACATAACCGAACTACTTCTTAAATATCCCACTTTTTTGAAAGCCTTATTAGGGTGGCTATAAGTCAGTTCTGACTTAATGGCACATAACCGAACACGATATTGCATGAGAGTGAACATTTTTAGCCTAGCTATGCAAAGATTTATACCATCAGCACTAAAAATGAGATTTCCACACCTGCAATAGGAAGTAAGCCTTGCAATGGGGGCTTACTCCAGGGTAAGCCTTCACAACAGGAATAGGCAATCAATGGGTTAGACACTAACCCCCAAATTTATATTGGAGATGTCCCTCTAACCGTTAGAGGGACATCTCCAATATAAATTTGTGGGCTCCGTTCCCAAATCTGCTAAGATGTCAGCAACTCTGGGTGGCCAAAGGGACATAAGAACAAAGTGTGTGGTGGCACAGCAGTGTTCAACTGCTGTTAGACTCAGGATGGGTGAGAAATATTATGGGTCTTCCTGCTCCAGATGTTGCCTCTCCATGATCTACATTGCATCATCATCATCATCATCATCATCATCATCATCATCATCATCATCATCATCATCATGTTGTTGTTGTTGTTGTTGTTATTGTTGTTATTGTTATTATTGTTGTTGTTGTTGTTGT